GTCCGTGGGAATTGAACCTTAGACCTGCCACTTGAGGGTTGACAACCTATCCACTTCACTAGGTCGCCACACCCCTCATAGCACTTATATATATGGCATTGAAAAAATAAAAGATGCACCTATTTTTAAATATGAAAAGATAAAAGATAATAAAGAAGCAATGACTATAATGGTTCAATATCTTGACTTCTTAGTTACTATAATTAATCCAAGAGTTGATTCACCTGTACCTGATCACCATCTTTGCTAAAAAATTCATAATGAATTAAGTGACAACCTTCAAGATTATATTGAATTTATTAACAAAATCTAACATTATACTCATTGTAGCTCTTTATATTGTTTTCGAGTAAATAAGAAAGGTAAACAATATTGTTGATTTGGATATCCTAAAAACAATATAGACTACACTTCTATTTGCAATATTAATGGTCAGCTAGAACTCATTACAGCATGAAATAACCTTTATATTAATCCTTATAATCATCTTTAGCTTTAGGATTGGCATGCAAATGTTGATCTGAAACCTATTTTAAATATTTATGCTGCTCTACAATATGTTGCTAAATATGCAAGTAAATCAAAACTACATTCTGCAACTTTTTCAAAAATTTTAAATAAGATTCTTTGTAAAAGTAATCTTTCAGATTTTTCTCTTGGTGTTTTTTAGTGATTATTGCTTTATACAATAGCAAAACCTAGCATATTAGCATATGAAACATGTTATCTTCTTCTTGGTATTTCATTTTATTATTCTAGTCATTACTTTGTTACTTTAAACCTTAACAAAAGGCATCTTGGTGGCTTTGTAATACAGGAAATAGAAATTTTATGACTGGCCAAGTTAAACAATCAGAGCAATCTTTTTTACAAAGATATTGAAACAGATTAGTTGAGTTTAAGAATCTTTCTTTATTTTAACTATATCTAGGATATAAATTTTGTAATAGTAAGTAGACAAAATATAATTGTAATAATATAATATGCATTTGGCTAAGACCATCTTCTTAGTAAAATGGCCATCAATAGGAAGAGTTCTGTCATATAAAAGTTTTACTATATATTTGTTACAGAAACCTTGATTAGCTAACTGAAAACAATACAATTTTATGGTCTGAACTCTTTAATTACTATCTTGCAGAGATAAAAGGTAAACTTACTAATTTGCTTAGTTCTTTAGTTGATCAGTTGGAGAAATTTGCTAATAAAGATGAGGATGAGGATAAACAATTAGAAAGCAATAAAGATGAAGAGAAAATTTAGTCAAATTGGATAATTTTAGCAAAAATGAGTCTGAATGCAATTGTCAATAGTTCTTCTGATTTGGGTTTAAGTAATACTAATAGAAATTATAACTGGATTGAAGATGTAAGATGGCACTATTTAAATATTAATCTTGCTAATATGGACACATTTGTATAGCAAGTTTATAACAAAGATGCCATTACTGCTGAAAATTTAGTCACCAATGTTATAGATGATCAAACATTAAACAAACATCAAATAAGAATACTTAAGTAACTTAAGTCTTACTATAATAGCATTTTTGTAGATAGTAATATTGAACCATTAAGAATCATTATTATAGGAACTGCAGGAATGAGTAAGTTATATTTGATTAATGCAATTTGACAATTACTTAATGAGATGGCAAAAAGAAATGAAGCTGAAAGTTCTTCTATAACTGTGCTTGCACCAACTAAAGTTGCTGTATTTAATATTCACAAGACAATGATTCATTTAGCACTTTCTATTTCAGTAAGTAGTATTAGCTTCGATTTATATGATGAGCATTTAAAGCATTTGTAAAAAAAATTGAGTGATGTAAGATACATAATAATCGATGAGAAAAGCATGATTGGATGCTATATGTTTACTTTAATTGATATACAGTTGTGACAAGCCTTTTCTGAAAATCAAAATTAACTATTTGGTAGTTGATCAGTTATATTAGTCAGTGACTTTGGACAACTTCTACCAGTGCTTAATTTACCTATGTATGCACAAAACCTTAGTTATAATCCATTATCAAATGATAGTATTACAGCTTACAAACAGTTTCAAGAGATTTATCAACTTGACATTGTTCAGCATCAAGCTAAAAATTCAAATAAACAATGTTACTTTAGGACTATTTTGTTGCAATTGCATAATAGTGAATTTACTATTGATGATTGAAAAGCATTTAGTACATAGTTCAAAGACTTACCAAGTGTAATTCCAACAGAAAATAAACAATACTCAAGAGCTATATATATCCTATCTCTCAAAAATGAAGTAAATAAGATTAATATTAATATGCTAAAGTCATTGAATAGTCTCATTGCTAGAATTCATGCTATTTACACTAGTAATAATGAAGCATTTAGAACTGATTCTGATGTTGCAAAAGGCCCTACATCTCAAATTCTTTTAGCTAAAGGTGCTCATGTTATGCTTAGAGTGAACATATATGTAGAAGTAGGGCTAGTTAATAGTGCTATAGAAACAGTCCAAGATATATTATTTGAAGAAAATCAGAGACTGCTTTTACTTCTTATTGCAGTTTTTGTAGAATTTAATGTTCACAATGGTTCTGCAATTATATTTACAAAAGGTAAAAGAACTATTTCAATTTCATCTATCTGATGCTCTTAGAACACAAATACAGGAACCTGCTTATGTTTACAGATTCTCCTTAGCCTTGTCTACACTATTATGGTATATAAGAGCCAAAGACTAATGTTGAAAAATGCTATTTCTTAAACTATAAACTATTTTCAGACAAATTTGTCTGAAAAATTAACAAAAATATATTTATGATCTATATTTTTTAAATTTTAAAATATTTAAATGAAATTTTGTTTGATAATA